AAAATGAATATATATTGTGCAAAAGTTAAACAAACTGCATTCTAAAATATTTAAGCATTGTTTTTTTTTCTCATTTAAGAAGTGTGTTTAAAATTATTCATCTATTTGAATATTATTTTATGAATATCACTTTCGATTAATACTTGCGCGTCTGTGAATCAGACAAGATTCTTTCTTTATTGCTTTCTGTGGCGCCAAAACCACAGACGAATTTCTTTTCATGGTAAAATGAGAGTGTTTGTAAACCGAAACTGAAACTTATGCTAATGATTATCAAGAACTTATGTCTTAGTTGTTGTTATATTGCATTTTGTTTTATTTTCATTGATCTCAATTACAGATATAAATTGAATTTAGCTAAGGTTAAAATAAAACTTGTCATTTAAAAGAAAAAATATTCAAAACTAAGAAAGAGGAAAAGAAATTTAAGAATATGTTGCTTCCTTTTAATTCATTTATGTAACTTGTAGTATAGTTTTATTATTACAATTTCTATTTGTTATTAGTTTTAAAAAAAAAAGAAAGGAAGGAGAAGAATTTTTTTTCTATTGCTATGTGTTTTATATATATATGTTTCTATATTGAATACACTTTAGTAACAAAGGTGGATAATTTTGATAAGTGAAGAGTAGTGTATTTTGGGATGAAAAAAAAAGTTTTATCTTGGTTTAATAGAATTTTATCCAGAAAAATTAAAGTAAAATGTCTGTATAGTGTTTATACAGTATAATGTTTATTGTTCAAAATATTGATTTATTTACAATATTGGTGTTTTATATGGGAATTTTGTTGATGTATTATAATTTACATTACCACTACTTTCTTTATAATTAATACACCGTATATTTTTATTTTCCATTGGTTGTTTGAATAGATTATATTAACTGGTTCAAATTATCTCAAGTAATATTGTGTGATAGGGTATCTATAATTAGAAACATTTTATATTAAATAATAAGTGACATTTCATTATCAGTGACATTTTAAGACTATTGGGGGTATTAAACAATATCTATTAAGTGGTGCTTTCACAATCTGCTACAATGACATTTTTAGGAAAGGGAAAAAAGGTCGATTTATGTGTATTAGCTGAAGAAATGGGTCTCAAGGTTCCCCCCGATGCTAAAGTCATTCAAATTAAGAAACTGATCACAGAAAATGAAGCATACGATGAAGAATTTTGCCTCAACGTGCTACAAAATATTATTGATGACAGAGTCGAAAGAGAAAGAAGCGAAAAATTAAATAGAGAAAAAGAAGAGGAACAAAATCGAATTTTGAAAGAAAAGGAACAAGAACAGAATTTTGAGCTAGAAAAATTACGTTTGCAAATTGAAGCCCAAAAATCCATACAACCATCATCTGGTTTAACTAGTACTTGTCCTGTCAACTTTCAATTAAAGAAATTACTACCTGAATTCAATCCCAAAGAGGACGATATGGTTTTATATCTCAACTTATTTCAACGCCAATTGAAATTTTTAAAAGTAGACAAAGAGAATTGGGTAGCTTATTTACTTGGTGTCCTGCCAAACGATATTGCTCAACTCATCGCAAGAGAAGCAGAAGATAAAGCCCAAGATTTTGACTATGTCAAAGAAATGCTTCTGAAAAGATTTAAGCTAAGTGCAGAAAAGCTTCGACAGTTATATGCCACTCACAGAAAAACACCTGAGAAAACTTGGAAAGATTTTCATTTTGAACTCCAAACTTTTTTCGAAAATTGGTTAATGGAATTAGACATTAAAACTTTTGATGAATTAAAAAATTTGATGATCGTCGATCAAATGAAGAAAAGAATTCCTCCAGAAGCTAAAGAGCACTTCTTAGATGTCTGGTGTGAATGGAAAATGCCTGAAGATTTAATTGAGAAAATGGATGCATATGAAAATCTTCGTATGAACAAAAATGATTTGCAGAAAACAAATACAGAAAAGAAGCTTAATTTGAAACAAACAGAATCACAAAGACTTTATAACCAAAACAAGTATTCGCGTAGTCCCAGGGTACAATATGACCAGAAATATAACATGCATTCTTTCAGACAAGAAAATAGGCGAGATACTGGAGTTCAAAGTCATAACAAGCAGGACTTTTCTAATTATGAAAGAATTCCGCGAAGAAATGATTTTATGTATGATGATCAACATCATAAAGTAAACAA